TCCATTTACGTTAAGCTGAGGAGCGTTAAGTTCTTCAACTTCAACATTGTTTTGTTGGGTTATTACATTAAATAAAATAGTTTTCATCCTGTCGCATTTGATCACTAATACTGTATTAGATACATCTCCGTGTGATACATACAAGTGGAGATCAGATACAGTTGGATATCTGTTAGACACGGCCTCGTGTATCCGCATTGTTGACATTCTTCCGTCGTTGACATTTAATCAGTCACCGTCCGAGTTGCCGGGTTCGCGGTACTGTGGTTGAGGACCGCTATAATGACACTTCGCTGTACTTGCGGCAAATCTAAAAAGTTATTATTCTTAAAAACAAAGTTTTTGAGTTCGTGATAAGAAATTTGCTTCTTCTAAATTTATAATCTAGTTTTCCAACTTCTTGTGGATTGTTAATTGACATGTAATAACAACATTCACTGATCCAAAGATTGTATTTTGTTTACATACTTTTTTAAACTCTGCATGAGATTATGTTGTTGAATTTCAGCTAACGCCTTAAAAAAAGTACTAACAAGTGACGTATGCTTTAACGATAACTAAGTATTACTGTTATTATAGTCTACGCTACGAAAACAGGAAATACGTTTATTTATTTTTTTTATAAATCTTAAATGATAAAATTTCTCGTAAAAGCCAATTATTAGCAGACATTTTGTTGTTTAGAATACCCAACCACAGTTATATTATTGTCTGTGACCCGACTCTTGGACCGTCTGCGAGGTGAATACACTTACAACCATACAACTAGATCTACACAGATTTGATAATCACTGTAGTTTTTGATTATATTCATTTTTAATGTAACACCAATATATTATATAAGCCTACTACTGTATGTTAATGCAGCATTGGTTTGAGAGTTTGTTTGACTTAATCTTATTATACTTTCAAATGTAAGTGAAACTATATGGAGTTGTTTTATAAAAAGTTGGATATCAAAAGAATTGAAAATAAAAGGGAACAAATGGCACATTCCACTTATGACCTGGAACGCGATGTACCGGTAGTTTCTTTCTGTCACAGTTGCAAGTCGAAACGGAACTAGACTACAAATGCCCAGCCTAGCCTAAACTCGGCAATGTGTAGGTCTGGCACGGACGTCTTGCTTTCACTTCACTCGGTAGGTTTCCTTTATGTTAATATTTTACAAACCACTAACACTAGGATACAATGTTCACTTGATGTGGGTTAGGTTAAGAAAACTCTCTTGACTTTTGTTCAAACTGTTTGGCTCTTCACTAAATTATTAAGTTGAAAACACCACATTGAAAAATCGAGAAATATTGGCACGTATACCATATTTTGAAAACCAAATATGCTTACTGTATTTTATATTAAAATTTCTGGCTTTAACACAGGGAGTTTTTTCCTAGTCTTGGAGAAAACAAGTAAAAAGTGAGGAGCAATAAACTTAACCTTTTCTGTGTTTTGCCTAATTTGATTCAATACTTGTTTTTATATCGATGATAAATAAAACATACAAAATAAGAGCTTTATATTACTTTAACACGACCTTTTTCCACGAAATTTGTCATAACACATACATTAACCCATGTAGTAAATTAAAAAAGGTTAAACATAAGTGTAAAAGTCGCCATTACTAGGGTTGCTTTCAGAGAGGTGAAAGCCAGTTGAGCGGAACAAACGAGATTTGATATTTGCATAAGTAACTAAATGTAAAAAAGTCAATAGATGTACTAATGCTGGTTTTATTGTTTTAAGATTATAATAATTCAGATTTGTTTTTACTACATCTTGTTGTTGTTATTCAGATACCTCTTCCAAAAGTACATTATGGTAGTTTTGACCAGGAAAATATTATCAGTTTATTTGGTGCAACACAAATAAACAACTCGATCAATTACCTATAACCTATACTTTACCTTCCTAATCTAACCTTACTTCAAAACACTTAATGTAGTCACGAATACTCATGAACCCCGACCTACCTTCCCTACATGCCTAAATTAGATCAGTGTTCAATCTGCGTTTTATTAATAAGTGTAATAACTTACTGTACCGTCGATGTAATTCAACATAATATAACCTGTGATGTATTATCAGATTAAATATCGATTTCGATTCGGTTCAATATATCGCTTATTAAATCCTGATTTCTAACATTGGCTGTTTCTAATCAGCTGGCAACACAAATAGGTTCATGGTTTAAAAATGTTTAAAAGGAAAGTCTAGAAAGTTCAGAAATACCTTATGATTCTCTTGTTTACATTTTTCTTGTAAACAAAAAACTGTCATATGGCTACTTTAGTCCCATAAGCCTAATGTTAAAATTTGGAAATTTTAAGTTCGTTTTAAATTGCATTAGCATTATCTAATTGAAATTTGTTTGTTTATTAACCATCTCACTATTAGTCTAAGTAATCTTGTTAAGTTTAGCTGAAATGTGTTCTGCCGTTATTGAGTGATGTTGCTTTATTTGTTGCATTGAAGTTGATCCCAAAGAGCTACGCTCGCTTCGCTCGCTCCGCTCAATAACACGGCTTGTTATCGGCTTATCTTAATTATTTTACGTGCGGTAAGCTCTACAGTATTGTGTACTTGACATGATAACGTGAGTTACAAATCTGAGAGTTGTGTGACGTAAAGGTGCGTTTACGACGACTCTTCAATGTCAAGCACCAACGAGGACGTAACTACAACTACAGTAGCCATACTGTCGAGAGAAGAATTATAATATGTTGTATCCTGTGCTCGGTAATTACATTATATTATTTTTAAATTCACAGGTGTATACAGTAATGATTCAAAAAGACAAAAGAGTTCAATTTAAAGAAAAATATAATTTAACTGATAACATTAAAAGTATTAGGTAATAATTAATGTAGGCTACAACATACTGCAGTAGGGTCAGTCGTTTGGTACAATTCTTTGGTCATCCGTATAAATTTATCAATGATAGTGGTCGTTCAATGGTCGAAAACTCGACCAAAAATGTGTAATGGACAGGCTTCTCCATTTTAACCCTATGCTGTAAATAAAATATGTAATTGTAATTTCTTCTTCCATTTATTTTGATTTTCTTTTTTATCATGTTATTATTTCGTCACCAGCATGACAACTATAACAACCAAGTTACCTTTTTTAAATATTAAATTAATTTGTTGTAGTTATTTTTGAGCTTTCTGTATTTTAATATATAAAGGAATTCTGGACATCTACAGGAAAATATTTTTTAACAGTATGCTTACCCTATTTACCCTGCGATCCACACAAGCTGAGAAAAAAGATTTTAAAGAAACATACTTGCCTATTTAATACAAAGATATTTCTTCAGAAGCTCTGTGTAATTTTACTCGGTAGGACAAATAACCTTACAGCATATGTTTTTGTGTTAGGATTTAAAAAAAAATCTATTTAATACATATGAACAAGAAACTATCTGATATTCCCGAACTTCGCAACGGGGAGAAGGCAAAAGAGAACAATATGCTGTTCTCTAGATCTGATGTATGAAATAGTTACACAACTATTTTTTACTTTAGAAACAAACAAACTATTTTCCACTTAGTTTAGTTAAATTATTTCCTTTAAGTTCAGAAATAAAAGGGGTTTAATTCTCTAGTCAACCAAATCCAGTAGCCTACATATAAGTAAGTGGTACTGATGCGAGTTTAAAAATACTTAAACTGTATATCATAAAAGGTTTATATCTACTTAATGTACTTATTTGAAATCAATATATCCATTAGATAACATACCGTAGCATTAAAATCAACTCCTTCATATTGTTGATATGTATGGAAAAAAATTAATCCTGATTCTTCAATTTTAGTCAGGCCTCTTTACCTGTAGTTTATTACAAAAGACAACGAAGCTTACTAAAAACAGAGAAAACTATGAGACAAATTCTACAAATCTTTACTGTACTTCTCTTTAACTACAAATTTATTTATTTATTTACGACAAAATCGCCATTTGTACATTCAATTACATGCATAACAATTTATGGATTTATTAATAATATTAACATGCTGCAAGTTTTACATCTTGCTATTTGGTCATGCTTTATGAATACATGCTAACACTAATGATTCGCAACTGAGTAATGAAATATGAAATAATAATAATTTACAAGAGTAATAATAATAATGATTTTATAAATGCCCATCTTACTAAACAAAATAACTCGCATATTTCCAAATTGTAAATAAAGCACCACAAAAAACCCTTTGCAGTAAATAAACAAACAACTTAACTGTTAATAATTAATTGTATCGACCATCTGCTGTTCCTTTCAATAATTAGATAATGTAAATACCGAAAGCACGAAATGCGTAGCACTTGGAAATCGACCTGTAGGGCAGAGCCCTAATGGAATTCGTTCATACCAATAATCTTCGGCAAGTCCTCACACTCTTTTTTACTACTAATTTAGTTCAACTTTAGCATGTTTTATTTCATGCTAATGCCTTTTATGACTTAGCCTATTGTACATTGCTTGTATTGAATGGCAAAATAAATTATTTGGTTTGATTTGACTCTGAGCTTAATTTGGTTGTGCCTTAATATAAGCGTAAATTATAATTTAGTTAATGGCCTAAATAGATGACAAATTTGACTGTATTACTGAATTTAATAGATTGTAATTTTATTTGATCTTTGTAGGACAAAATTCAATTATTTTATTTGTATAGCGAATTTCCCATATAGGGAATAAGCTATTACCGTAGTACTCATGGTAAGACCTGGACCCGGGGCCGATTTACTTTTTCGTTTTGAGGTCCCTACAGGCTTAGAAATTTATAGTCTAAAACTGTGTAGGACTGAATAAACCATACAGTAATTTCGATCACACGTGGACATTTTATTCGATTAAAATAGCTCATTCCCACCTTTAAAATTTCCGTAACCCTGTCATTCACCATATCCTGGGCCTGGCCTAAGTAGTATAAATATTTACTATTGCATGATGTTTACAGTTATGTAATTTAAATTATATGTACAAACTGATAACATACCTTCATAGACATGGTGAGAGCTAGGCCGTCTTCCTCCACAGGTCCAGCGGCTCAACCGCTGTGCACTGTGTTGTGATATTGGTACTGCCGCCACAGCCTACTGGATAGTGTTATCAGTCACTAGCGCTCCTAGCGGACTGACGTCATCGCAACCAGTCTCAGCCACCTGTATAACGTCACAACACAACACAGCAGTTATTGTTGTATCCGGAAGGATGGAAGAACACTTGTGTTTCTTTTTGAGGCGTAAACCACTGTGACGAAGTTACAAAGGAAATTGATTTCTGGTCACGAGTTTTGATTAGCTTATCCATAGTTTTATAATGTTCGTCATGTTCATGAGAAAAAGTTAATTCTGTATTATCGTAGAGACATGTTTGGAGGTAATAAAGCGATTAGTGTCTGGACATTTGCTGCCAGTAGCAACTTTGAGCATTTCTACGTATATACCGGACTTTGAATGATCTTAAAAGATTAAATAAAAACCTATACAAACGTCAACAATATTAATAATGTCATCACTATTTTTTTTTTATAGTAACAGTTTTATAGTAGTTTTAATAAAGTGTTTATAAAAAGAGTTTCTAATAAATAAGTATACTAAATTTGTCTGGAGGAAGAATCAGTACAAGTCATGTTTTCATAAGTTTTCCAAACACACTGTTCACCTTTTATAATTCACCCTATGCAAAGGTGGTATTAACTCGTAAAACTGTATAAAAAACAAACAATATTTGTATATTTGTTGTTATTATTTATTTATATTTAAATCATTATCTATTCTATATATAATTCAGTTTAAAATCTTTGTACAACTAAATCTAGAGTTCTACTGACCGATTTTATTAATTAAGGGTCGTTAAAAAGCTTAATTCATGTAGATTTGCAAATAATTATGAAAGTTTGTTTTTGTTATGATTTATGGTGAAAATTTAAAAAAAAAACATGTTTTCCATAAGGAATACATTGAAAACGGCGTCTTTTCACACTTTTTATTTGGGTGAGACTTTCGGCTGCCTTTTTTGGTGTTCCAAGAAGTGTATGGTATCAATTTGTAGGAAATTTTATCCTCTTTCAGAATATCACCTTTCCACTTTAGTCGATTTCCTCACCCATTAAAAGTTATTTGCAAAATAGCTAAGCAACCTCCGAATTTATAGTAATGAGAAAATACTGAGTTAGGATATTTTTGTTAAACTTTGTACAACTAAATCTAGACTTCTACTAGACCGATTTTGTTAATTAATGGGTACATTGGAAAGCCCAACTAATCGTAGATTTGCAAATAATTATGAAAGTGTGATTTTGTTAAATATTTGTGGTACAAAAGTAAAAATAACAAAAATACATTAAAAACGGGGTTTCAGGTTTCTATTTTTACTTTCTCCCCCTATACCATAGTATATGGAGAAAGTATTGTTTTCGTCAAAATTTTCGAGTTTGAGTTTTGAGTGGATATATTCGTTTTGGGTCCCCCTGGACCCAAAAAAGTGGTTTTGAAGTGATGTCTGTGTGTGTGTGTGTGTGTGTGTGTGTGTGTCTGAGTGTGTGTCTTTGTGTCTGGATGTGTACAGAGCTAGGGACTACACCTGTGGTCCGATTTCAATGAAATTTGGTATGTAGGTTTTATTCCGTGGTATCTCCAGGCGTTTTTTTCATTTTTTTGAAATTTTGATTTTTTATGGGGATTTTCCCATAAAAACCCATAAAAAACTGGAAAAATCGGATTTTCTCAAAAATGGCCCGAACGATTTTGATAAAAATTTAGTATGTTGTAGCCCTTTAAATTCTGAACAAAATGGTACAAATCCCATTTCTGTAAAAATTACGGTTCAAAAGTTATGGTAAATTATGTTATTTTCCCATAAAACCCCCATAAAATAACAAAAAATAGGATTTTAGACAAAAATCCGGTTTTGATTTAACAGAGTATGTTATGATCCTTACAATTTTGATAGTTTTTGTCATTTTTTAGAAAATTTTATTTTTAATGGGGATTTTCCCATAAAACCCCATAAAAAACTGGAAAAATATGATTTTCTCAAAAATGGCCAGAACGATTTTGATAAAAATTTAGTATGTTATAGTCCTTTATATTCTAAACAAAATGATACAAATCCCATTTCTGTAAAAATTACGGTTCAAAAGTTATGGTAAATTATGTTATTTTCCCATAAAAATCCCCATAGAATAACGGAAAATCGGATTTTCCCAAAATTGGCTAGAACGATTTTGATAAAAATTTAGTATGTTATAGTCCTTTAAATTCTGAAGAAAATTGTACAAATCCGATTTCCGTATATTTACTCTCATCGCTTACTCATGAGAAAGGTTGTTGACAATCTTATGGGAGAAAGTATGTGTCAGAATGCTGATACCGTTTATTATGTTTCTATTTGTAGCCAGCTTTTGGCTGCCTTTATTAAGCATTTTCAAGAAATGCATAGTAGTTATTTGTAGTAAATTTGATTCTCTTTCAGAATATCACCTTCCACCTTGGTCGATTTCCTCACCGTTTCAATGTTATTTGCAAAAACGTTAAGCAACCTCCCAATTTATAGTGGTGAGAAAATACTTAACTAAAGATTTTGTTGTTAAACTTTGTACAACTAAATCCAAAGGTTTTTAGACCCAAAAATATAGGGTAATGTACTAAAAGTTAGAACTGCTTGAATGCATCTTTGATTGAAGTAAAAAATCAAAGAAATCTAATTTATATTTTTTGTTGAGTAATACATTAGATCAATTAATAATAATGCTTGATGACAAATATGTGCTTGCATAGCTTTATTTTGAGACAAAAATTTATGAAAATCAGGCTGGTAGAAGAGCCGAAATAACGAACTCGAAAAAAAACTAATTTAACTCCCATAAGAAATGTACAGGGACGCATTTTGTGCATAACTCGAAATATACGTCAAAATGAATGCCGATGCTTGATGGCAAATCTGTGGTGCGTCCATACCTTTAGTTTATTGCCAAAATTTTGAAAATCGGTCGGGTAGAAGACCTTTAAACCGACTCGGAAAAGAAAAACCAATATTTTTTATATAGGCTATGGCAATAATTGATTTACCAGTATGCATAATCTAAACATGTGTTAATGATTTAACAGCTTATTGTTATATTGTTATTTAATTGATTTTCTTTGATTGTGTGTATGGATTTCACAACCATCATTTTAATAGATACCGTTGTATTTAACCACAACGGCACGGGCATGGTTGCTAGTTAATAAATAATACACCATAGTACCCTTTTTTAAATTATTTTTAATGATAAATATACTATTTTTACTATTTTACATCATTATGTACATTCTAATGTCACACAATTTATCATCTAAATTTTCATCGAGATAATGTTAAAAATAGTGGACCTATTTTTCTAAAGAACCTTTTACTAAGATATTAACTGTTATTTTCCCACATTTATTAAAGTTAAACAGCCATAAAATAGTTTCTCAGTTTTAATAAGCGGTTAGCAGCCTGACTAAAATTGTTCCCCACATAAACCTATGTAAGAACTCTTCAAGTATTTTCATTTCCAAGGAAGAGATGTCTCATTCTTGGAGCACACTTTGATAGAGCTCTGACAATTTCCCACGTAGCGGCGTTTACTTTCGCCACCGTGAAAGTAAATTGTCGATCAGCAGAGAATGAAGGATCGGGATAATGCTCAGTTTATTAGACGCAGAGGGGCAGCTGCCGCTGGAGTTGACAACGAAATTAGGAGAGAAACCACGAGACAGCACGATCTACCAGGGAACACCAGCCGACGCTCTTTATCAAGTGCTGGTAAACATCCAAGTTGTCAAACTTCACCATTGTAGTGTGGACATTCATAAGGTTGAGATTCTGTATTAGCAGAGACTTGATACTTGGATAATAAACTTGATTAAATATTTAAAAGGCCAAACACGAACGAGTGTTTTCTTGCGTTTTAACGAATTTCCCATATAAGGAATAAGCTATTACCGTAGGTCTCATGGTAAGACCTGAACCCGGGACAGATTTACTTTTTCGTTTTGAGGTTGCCAGAGGCTAAAAAACACCATCCGTTCAAATTCATATATATATATTATATATGTGTCCGTAAGCACGATAACTCGAGCAAAAATGATCCGATTTTGATTAAATTTGGTATAAAAGTGTAAACCTACATTTGTTCGAACGAGTTCGCGTCGCGAACCAGCAGATCAGGCTATGGGAACAGGGGTTTATCGGGGGTTTTATGAGGGTAAAATGGGGTTTTCCCATTTTTCACCCTGAAAACATAAGACTTTGCAATTTATTTACAAACCATTTTGTAGAGCTAAGAAAAAGAAACAATTTAGTATATTGAAGCATTGTCGTATGCCTAACGTTACGAAAAAATCCTCAAAAAGTGTAAATTTAAAATTACCATGGAGAATAAATGAACCGTTGTAGCTTGCTTTTAGCACCAAACCTAAGTACTCATTAAAATTAATGATATTTAAATAGGAAATAAATCTGACAATTTTAGGAGTATAATTTAGTGGTGGGGGTATTTGCAGTTTCTGTGTCAACTCGTCTTTGAAAAAATATTTGAGGCAGTAAAGTTTACCAGCGAAATTGCTGTTTAACCTCTGGTGTTATTGTTATTACTATGTTGGAATGTTTCGATTCCATCGTGGTGTAAATGGCACAGATTTGAGAATGGTAAAATCAGAAAAAAATGTTTTATCCGGTTATTTCAAGGTTATTTGTTTTATCCTAAGACGCTAGGCACGAGCCCGGGATTGTTTTTCACATTACTTCAGGCTAGACCTAAGGGTTGCGATGTTATCACTTTGATCAAATACATTAATGATTTGGCGGGATTTGAACCCGGGACCTTACGGACCGAAATCCCGCACTCTAACCACTAGGCCAGCTCGCTCCCCTATCTCAAGTGTATTAAGAGTAAGTAAAATTTTTATAAGGTTTGGTAGGAATGGAAATTTTTAGTTGTGAAAATCACACATTTCACTTAACTGTGAAGTGTTCTGTAATCATATTATTTAGTAGATGCTGACATTTTTTATTCTAATTAAAATTTGAATTTGAAAATAAACTTTATTGAAAACCATAAAAGTAAATAGACAACGAAATTTAGTTCGCTAAAAAGTATGTAGCCAAATTTAAATGTTTATCACCAAACCCCCATACGGGTTTCTTCGCTCATATTGTCAGCTGATTGATGCTAATTTAATACCATTGTTGGTACTTCATATTAAAAATCGATCCAAGCTTATTTAAAATGTCTGCTATTATGACTGGCAATTATTGGGGAAAGGGCGTAAATTTAAAATTCACCTCACGATGACGTGTAGCAGGTCGACATCAATGGCCTGCGCGTAGCCAGACTTTACGCTCTATAATTTGTTTGTGTGGATGGGCAAAAGAAGAGGTTTACAGAAGTAATGCAAAGACTCTCAATGAATTGGAAGTTTACATTTGTAATGTTCTCGGTAATGTTCCACAAGTTTTTATCTGAAAATGTGTTCAAAATGTATATGTTAGATTAAGAAAATGTGTTGACAATGTAGGTGCATATGTAAACTATCTGTACTGAATCATACAGTATTCGGTTTTACTGACTACTCGATTCCCGTACGTATGACGGGCCAACAGCTCGTAATTATTAATTGAAAATATGTAGCGACTTTTCAGCCATTTTGTAGACATAATGAGAAGGCCTATGAATGTTATTCCATTTTGTGGGCAATGGGAAAAAGCATGACTTATTCCGAATGACACTCTTCGTCATATAAAGGACCTTAATTTCACTTTGGATCATTTAAATGGATATCCAAAGCTAATTTGGTACTTTCCTGTTAAAGGGAACATTCATTATTATCGATGATTTATTTTCGATATATCGATATTTTTGTTTTACTTCACGATTGGTATTCCATCTGTTTTAATATATTCAAACGCATTTAAATTACAAATTAAGAACTAACCTTGTCTAGGCAAAAATAATAGCCTATACATTGGATTAGGACATCGTATTTTAAACTAACCTAACATAACTAACCAAACTTGCTGTATAGGCTAAGTTACCGTTTCAAAATTCCATTTGATAACAGAAGAGAAAAGGCATATGGGGAATAGGCTATCAAACGGATTTTTGAAATGTTACAGCCAGTTTGGTTGGTTAGGTTAGTTTAGAACAGTTTCATTTTAATATAGGCTAATGTTTTTTTTGATTGTTTGTTGATACTGAACAATATTTATTAACTGTATCCTATATCGTACTTGTCAGCTGATATGTTTCAATTTGTTACTATCAATATACCGGAATTGTTTGATGAAAATTATTTGTAGGCTTTCTCATGATATAAATTATATGTTGAGCTTATATTTTTAATTACTAACTCTCATAGCGCACCAGTAAAGTTAATCATAATAAACAGTTGAAATAATTATCTTAAATGTTATTTTATCCTTAGTATTCTTCTGTTATCAGTGTTCTTGCAATTAAATTATTACAAATTTAGTTCCATCGATGGGCATTCCGCTTAGAGCAAACTGAACAGAATGGAAGAAGTGTCATTACTTTTGCAGGCGGACTAGGAGGTCATGTTTTTTTTACTTTATTTTAACGATTTCGACTACGCTACTTAGACACTGTTTGATAATTAATCAGTGGATGAATCGTAATCAATACTTTTTCAATACTTTTACGAATGTAGGTATTTTAAGCCAAGTCAAGTATGGATAGAGATGATTGTAATAATCTTAATTGAAATTTAGTCCCATCAGCAGATAATACATAAACATAATACCTAATAATAATTAAATTCGATATTTTCATTGACATGATAACGCATCTATAAGTATTCTTATTATAATAGCTGTATGTTATTCTTTTAATAAAACCCCCTAAACACACATACTATACCCATATTAAAACTTGTCTATAAAATGTGTGAAAGGTTCCCTGTTATTTTAAAAAAATATGGGTACTTCAGTATTAAACGGAGGCCACATTTTGTCAGCGCGCTGCGGCGGTTATGTTAGGTTGGGTTATCATAATAGAAAGTATCGTTCGATTCATAACGAAGCGAGGAAAGTCCTACACACATAATATTTACGATAACCCAACCTAACATAACCGCCGCAGCGCGCTGACAAAATGTGGCCTCCGTTTAATACTAAAGTACCAAAATATGTGCAAATAATTGTTAGTACAATTTAATCTGTTATATTTATTTTGAAAAGTGTTTTTATTATTGGATTAATAAAACATCAAACTGGTCAATATATTCGCATTAGGAATCTACGTGCTGTGAAGTTTTTTTTTTTAATTTTGTTATTTAAGTTATGATTATAATGTATTTTTAAAGTAGGCATGACATTGAAACAATTGAGATTTGTTAAAATTATTGTTATACTAGCTGTACCCGTGGGCTTCGCCCCGTTTAACTTCATAAGTATTCGCATGGCTCATTCTCGTCCTGGTTGAAGTTCGTTCGCTGCGCTCACTCACCTTTAGGTTGGAGCTCGTTCGCTGCGCTCACTTGCCTTCAGGTTAGCTCGTTCGCTACGCTAACTCGCCTCCAGGTTGAAGTTCGTTCGCTACGCTCACTCACCTTTTGGTTGGAAATTAGCTGTTGTCATAAATAAAAAAAAATAATAGTGCTGCACCCTATTGGTAATCCTTGTAACTTTTATGCTATTGAACATCATAGAACAGAACCAACTTGTTTAATTGAAACAGCTGTTAATTCATTAATTACTTTTAAATATGAAAAATCATAAGATTAACATGGGGAACTACAGAGCCACTGGGGCGGAGCCCGAAAGGGTTTTTGAGATAAGAATATGCTTTAATGTCAATCGGGGAACCGGAGTTTTGCCAACGGGTGTCAGGTAAGCCCTGGGGCCCTTTAAAGTTTCATATTTCTCCATAAGATTAACATGGGAAACAAAAATTTTTATGAAACTCCAGCTGCTGTCAGAAATTAAAAGTGAGAAGAAGAACATATGTTAACAGTAAACAGTCAATAAGTTTGTTAATTGAACAGTTTGCTACAGACATTTACTCACTTGGTTGAAGTTAAATATTTACCCTTTAAATTTGGGTTGGCGTAAATATTACAATGGAAAAAACCAGAGAGGCTGGATAAATTGATATACTAAAAAGAAAACTGTGTTAACACTGTGCTGCATTTCTTAGTAATCATTGAAAGAGTAATCCATTTGCAAATCATGGAAACATAGGCAAGTCATAGAACACCACCTAGGAGAAGAAATAGAAATAATGTTTTTTTAATGGAATTTATAATCCTTATTATGGACAACCTAATGCGGCTATGAGTAACGCTATTTGTAGAAAACACTAAATAAACAAGATCAGCTTCTGAAAAATTTTAAGATATTTACAAGAAATGATGATTATATCGATCTGTTATGTACATATTGAGTATTTGCATAATCCTTGAGTCGAATCTTTTAAAGTTATCAGAAATTATGGTAGTTATTCCTTTTAAAATAATGCCTGTTATAATTAGCAATTGCTCGAATTCGAGCAACAGGGACACTAGTGTAAGTAAATATTGCCACATGTAGAAAAAACTCGTTCTTCAAACACCTTTTATGAGAAAATCCGTAAACCGTTTGATGGAAAAGGTAATAGATAAACTGTATTGTATAACACAGCTATTACATTCTCATCTCCTTTAGTCAATAGCTTTAGAATTGATAAGATAGCCAAATACCACTCACCACGTTTCTGCAAAAGCCGGTTACGAAGGCAACTTACACACGTAGCACGCACACACTGTGGGGTGTGGAGTAGCTTCTACCCTCCCCAAACACTCATCACTACTTCACTACCGTGACTACTCTGACTCTGACTAACAACCGATCGAAACGTATGTGTTTAAAATTATTCTGAAATAGTGGCCTGACTAGTTAAGTAGTTTGTGAATCACAATCTATGCGTTGATTTGACGTATTCAAGCAGTAGCATCACTAAACTAAGATATTTCTGATTTCTGTAGAGTTGTAGGATTGCCCACCGAGTCAAGTCGAATCCATCGGATGGTCGAAAGTTGGAATGGTGGCTCGAGAACGATGCAATATCGATGTAAAACATCCCTTTCCTCCCGCCCTGCTCAATGAGCCCCCACGACACCACCGCGCTCATTGATCGCTCGCTTGTACGTCAGAGATATCTCCCGCCACTATTCAATCACTTGTTTGACAGATTGGTCACAGTTAATCATGGAACTGCATGGAAAATCCATGATAATGGATTTTCTAAGAACTAATGAATTAAAAGCTAATAACGCCCGTTTTATATATATATATTTCAGCAGATAAAAATTTATTACATGAATGAAATAGTTAATGGGCTCACTGGGAAAATCGGGTTGGCTTGTAACCTTTAAAGGTGAAACCCGGCAGTAGACCTAGATTCATGACACAACCTTAAGGTTTAAATTAATCCTTGAGGATAATACTCTGTAGTTTACATAATTCAGGAATATTTAGTTATTTAATCAAAACAGGCTAAGTTATTTAGTTTTTATATTAAAGTAAACTTTGAAGAAAATTAATTTATAAAAATATATTTCTGCATCAGTTAAAATACACATAACAAATGAATAAACGAATAAAGCATGAACCCTACCTTGTTAGGGACGTATTGATTTAAAATACTTTGTTTAACCTTAACTTGTATACATGTTTTTAAAATAAAGAACACTAGTGGAACCCCGTCGAAATCGACGGTTAATCTTGAGGTTTTATGTAAAATCAGCTAACTGCGATGGATAGAGTGAAGTCATTAGAATCTTAGTTAAATGGAGGGAGGATAAGCAATAATAAGTATGACGATTGTGTTCCCTAAAAAACGTGATTGATGAATTCGTTTAACACAATATTTCCTACCTTTTTATCGGCTTTAGGTTGCTCAAAAGGTTTTTTAGGAGTCTTATAATTGTTTGTTCATGAGTTTGTTTCATACCAAAGCCACTTTCACTATATGGGAGAATGAGTTCATATAATTAGTCTATCATGTTACGGAAAGAGTCAATATTTATTACTAACCACTAATTCCATCTGCTTTAGGAAAATCATTCAGATTGTATCCGGATTTATAAGTTATCATCATCTTTGGTCATAAAAATACAGAATTCTATCAGCATATTAAATCAGTTTTTTTTTTGTTTGATAAAACTATCTAAATCTCCAGAAAGCAGTAACATTCTTACTTCGATCTCAGCAATTTTAATTCCTTCTCTTGCCACATCGACCCATGTATTTAATCATCCTGTTCTTATAGTGCAGTAGAAATAATCGAAAATATAGCTTAAGGTGGAACTAATTGCAACAGAAATGATTATGTCTGTGAATGGTAGGTAGTATGCTTCTAATCAACATACTAAAAATATACATCTGTACTGTGGCGGAAAATACGTTTTTTGGCCGCCATCTTGAAAAAAGTGTCAAAATTTTAATATTCGTAAAAATAACTTTTTGGGTATCAAATAATAGGAAATTTAATGCTGAAAAATGTTATAATAGTGGTTATAAGCACTATTTAGAAATACGATCGTAGTACAAAATACCCCCGCCGCAGCAAACCTGCAGACTAAACGAATTTCCATTTGTCTTAATTGATTTTCAATTAAATCTAGTAATTCAGTGTTACAATCTTCGTACAACTAAATCTAGAGTTCTACTGGACCGATTTTATTAAGTAATGGGTCATTGGAAAGCAATTCTTGTAGATTTTCAAATAATTATGAAAGTTTGATTTTTTAAGATTTGCTAGGTGAAACCCGTCAACGTTGACAGTTAGCCTAGGTACTGTTGAGATTGCAAGCAAGATCTTTTTAACTATAAATCGATGATAGATAACTCCATTTTTAAACAATTTGGGTCGTTTATGATTTAGCAGTATGCTTTAGGTACGTCCGATCTCAAAAATCTATAATTCCAATGGAATCGGGTATTTCACTGAAGATTTTTAGATAAAAACATATAGGATAATGTAACTACTAGAATACATTTTTTTAAATTGAACAGAAATCCAATTTAATTGTTTTCGTATGGTAATACATTTGATAGATTAATGATGACAAATATGTGCTTGCATAGCTTTGAGACCAAAATTATGAAAATCGGTCCGGTAGAAGAGCCAAACGAACTCGAAAAAACAAATTTAACTCCCGTAAGTAATTTACAGGGAGGCAGTTTGTGCATAACTCAAAATATACGTCAAAATGAGTGCTGGTGCTTAATAGCAAAATCTATGGTGCGTCCATAGCTTTAGTTTAAAAGCCGGATTTACACTATGTAGCAAAACCTGCTATATAACTTTTGCTATATAACATTGCTTTATAACTTTTGCTGTATGAAAAATTTTAAAACAATTTTAGTGATTCTGGTGCTCGTGCTATATGTTATCTGTAGCACTACCTCATTCACATTCCGTATCGAAATGTGCGCTGAAGAGACATTGTTCGTGGCAGCTATCGTTGTGATCTTGGAAGTCAGAGAGAGAGACAGACAGGAGCGAAGATTTTAGCAAGTTTTAGGTTTGACCGCTTCTTGCTTCGAGAAATAAGTACAGTGTAGCAGATTTATTACGGGACCTTAATGATGATGAATACCCTGACAATCCATAATTAAAACGCTAAATAGGGCGACGGTAACTTCAAAAACGTTTTACGTATGATCACAACGCCGGTTGTCCACGGAACATTAAGTTTATAATACCAATAGCCCCGATAATATCATCCCGATCCTAGGCACTGCCACTTTCCGTTTCCAGTGCTTCCATTGTAAACAAAGATCGCTGAGCAAAACCGTTCAGCGCTACATATAGCAGATGCTAGACGAAAAATATATGTATATCATTGCTACATATGGCAATGTTAGATGTAGCACGTATTTCTTTTGATATTTACCGACTCCCGATGGATAGCACAATTTTAGCTATATATAGCAGGATCTGCTAAATATAGCAGTGTTATATAGCACTTTTGTAAAGTTACTTCTTCTACTTCTAGCAAATGTTATACAGTATAACATTGCTAGATGTTACACAAATCTGCAATGTAGCAGGTTTAGCTACATAGTGTAAACCCGGCTTAAGGCCAAAATTATGAAAATCGGTCTGGTAGAAGAGCTAACCCGACTCGGAAAAGAAATACAAATTATTTTTATAGATGGCAATAATTGATTTACCAGTATGCATAATCAAACCATACGAAAAATGAGTTGATAATTTAACAGCTTATTTTTATATTGTTATTTAATTAAATTTTCTTTGATTAAATATTGTTGTTAACAATTTGCATTTGTGTTTTAAGTGTGTTTCTTATGTTAAGTGTGTGATTCTAATGTTATGAGCTTAATATGTACCAAATATTAGTGAGTAAAGTGGTGTATGGATTTCATAACCATTATTTCACTAGAGACCGTTGCATTAATTTAACCACAATGGGCTCTGTTGCTAGTCTATTAAATAAATAACATTAGGTTTAACGAAACGAGTACCAAGGTTTGCTGCTACAAGGAAACCAATTAAGTGTGTTTTTAGTAAAATATTAATTGTTTAGTATAAAGTAAATAAATCTTCAAAGTTTTATCAAAATATATCCATAAGCATGGAAACTACAACTTTTACCATATTCTCCATAAAAATAACGTAGGGATTTTAAATTTCCAATTTTTTGAATTTCCCCCGTTAGCAATAATCGTACAAAACCCCTTTGATATACTTAACTATTTGTTTTTTAAGCTCTTTAAAAAGGTCTAGAGAGAAATTGGGAAATTCTACGTTTTAAGGGTCAAAAATGAAAAAAAAACAAATTTTAAAAGTATAAAATAACTTATAAATACAAAACTTTTCAAATGCCACGTTTTTAAACGTACCTTTTTCGCCCATAGTGCATCACTGTTAACAGTATATTTTAAATTCAATCATTATATTCTTTTCCAGCATGAAAAGTTCTATAATTATACTAAACCAGTTTTTTTACAATAATTTAAAATTTTACACTTTTTTTAAATGGCGACCAAAAACCCATATTTTGCGTAACAGTACAAATGTATATTTTTAGTATGTTTTTTATAAGTGTATTACCTACCATTTCTAGCTGGAATAATTTCTGTTGCAATTAGTTCCACCTCAAACCCTATTTCTACTGCACTATTACTTGATAATTCATTAACTTGTGGGGTAGTTTTGCCTTGGCCATATAGATCACATAACGCTGTGCATGTATTTCGTGGATTGGAATGAACCATAATTGTAGGAAATTTTATCACAAATCTTGAACATTTGCGGAACCAAATCCATAACCTAGTCCAGCCTTGGTAACAAATTATGCAAATGCGATGATATGTGATGTTGTGTTTCCGAATGTTTTGTATGTAGTGAGGTTTAGATGCGTTGTTCGACCTAGCTACATGTGTACCTACATCAAAGTAAAAACTGTGTACACATTTTTTTTAATACCTGAATTGACATTAGTTCACCTACTTTACCAAAATCATAGACTCCGTAGTTAGTCTATTCCAAAACTTGAACACAGCTCTCATCCTCAACGTACTCGTCTATGACACAATTTTCAACCCAAAATTTTCTAAGAGCAATAAAGCATTGATTTTCGAACAAAACATTTGAAACGTATCATAAATTCATTTTGGTGAAACTATAAAAAACTTGCCATGCAGTGGAGAATCCATTTAAAATCATAAATAATAATGTAAACATTTAATTTTGACAGTTTCAGTAGACCTTTGAATGCAATTTTAATATTAACAGCTGGTTCATTAAAAGTAGTGTAAAATTATCCAT